TGTCCCTTTGTCCCTTGCTAGCACTAATTTTTCATCAAACATTTGGATGCCAAGCACAGAGAAAAGAGAAAATGAGACATGGCCCCTGCCCTCGAGGAGCTCCCCATCCAGAAGGGAGACTGACAAGTCACGGAAGAGTCCAGTGAGTTGAGACTCAGCGTGCACACGTGAGCGCGCATGTGCGAGAATTTGGATATGGGTCGCGAGGGTGGGGGCCCCATGAGGGTGGTCAGTGTCTGTGCCTCCGCCTCACGGCCTCTCCTCTGAACAGACGTGCTCCTAGTCCCAGGCCTTCAGGATGCCGCCTGCCCCCTTGCCGTTCTCTTTAGCTGTGGGGAACAGGTGGCAGGAGGGAGGGCGAGGGAGGGCGGGGAGAAGGGCATTATGGGGTCGCAGCTGCCACTTCCTCCCCTGCTGGGGCGCTCTGCTCCTGGGGTGGGTGTGGAGGAGGTGAGGAAGGGGCACCTGGGAAGAAAACCTGACCATTTCTAAGCACCTGCCTGGGACCAGAGAGTTAAGAGACTTAGGGCCTTGTTGGCAGGCGGTGGCCAGGGTGCAGACTTCGGCTCTCACGCTTTCCCCCACAGCCCCCGTTGGACAGGAAGGTGCAGAGGGAGGGAGAGGAGGAGAGGAGTCCAGCAGGAAAAGGCACAGCCCCTACACTTTGTTCCAGGAGGCTTGTCCTCTTAAAGAGCCCTCTGATGGGTTTGCCTCGTGCATCTGATAACTCAAGCTCCAAAGAGCTGGCTGATGGCAAATGGCACCTGGAGTAGGAGATGATCTGACTAGTTTTAAATATCTGAGTGACATGTACCGTAGCATTTCAGGCTTGGAAAGGGGCCCTTCCTACCCTTCTTCCCATTTCCTCACAGCCAGTGCAGGCATTTCCATCACGTCATTTATTCACTCGGCGATTCAGTGGTCACTTAATGAACCAGCACTCTCCCCCAGGATGAGTGAGGCTAAGTGGGGGGGGACAGTGGGACTAGGGCTGGACCAGAGGCACATGGAGCCACCCACTGACTGCCTACAGGACAAAAAGTGGGACAGGGAAGGGGCCATATGAGCTGGGCCTTGAGTGATGAGTAGGAGTTCACCCAACAGGTAGAAGCAAAGGGGAAAAGAGCAGAGCGAACAAAGCCAGAAAAGCATGAGCTGATGTTTGGGCAGCAAGAAAGTAACTGCGTGCGGCTCCAGCTCAGCTGTCAACAGCGAGAGGCAGCAGGGCCGGGTGGACAAAGGCCATGGATGCTGTGCTTTACTCTGTGGCCCACGGGGAGTCATTAAAAGAGGTTTGGGCAGGCAAGTGCCGTGACGGACTTGCTTTCTGCAATGTCGAGTTTGATTGTCTCTCTCTTCCCGTGGACTCTGTGAGTCCCGGGAATTGCTGTGCATTCCCTGTACCTGACCAATGCCTGCCTGACACAATAAATAAACAGGCAGAGGCATTTCCCTGATGGTTAGTGAGGCCGAGCATTTTTTCACATACCTGTTGGCTACCTGTATGTCTTCTTTGAAGGTCCTTTGCCCATTTGTTAATTAGGTTATTTGTTTGCTTGCTATTGAGTTGTTTGAGTTCCTCTTATATTTCGGATATTAACCCCAGTGGAGATATGGAATCAACCTGAGTGTCCATCAGTGGATGAATGGATTAAAAAAATATGGTACCTATACACAGTGGAATACTATTCAGCCTTAAAAAGAAAGCAATCCTGTCATTTGGGACAACGTGGATGAACCTGGAGGATCTTATGCTAAGTGAAATAAGCCAGGCACAGAAAGACAAGTACTGTATGATCTCACTTACACGTGGAATTCAAAAAAGTCAAACTCATAGAAACAGATAGTACGTGGCGGGGCATGGTGGCTCACGCCTGTAATCCTAGCACTCTGGGAGGCCGAGGCAGGCGGATCGCTCAAGGTCAGGAGTTCGAGACCAGCCTGAGCAAGAGCGAGACCCTGTCTCTACTAAAAATAGAAAGAAATTAATTGACCTACTAAAAATATCTAGAAAAAATTAGCCAGGCATGGTGGTGCATGCCTGTAGTCTGAGCTACTTGGGAGGCTGAGGCAGGAGGATGGCTTGGGCCCAAGAGTTTGAGGTTGCTGTGAGCTAACCTGATACCACAGTACTCTAGGTTGGGCAACAAAGTGAGACTCTGTCTCAAAAAAAAAAAAGAAGCAGAGAGTAGGATGGTGGTTGCCAGTGGCTGGGAGTGGGGGTTCAAAAGGGTGTAAAGTTTCAGTTAGACAGGAGGATTAAGTTCTGGATGGAGATCTACTGTACAGCATAGTGACTATGGTTAATAATAATGTATTATACACTTGAAAATTGCTCACAGAGTAGCCCTTACGTGTTCTCACCACCAAAACATAAGTATGTGAGGTGGGGGACACCCAGATGAGACACTCTTCCTCTTGCTGAGCTCATGGGGGTGTTAAGCATGTTTCCAACATAAAGGCAGCCGTAACCCCCAGACCTAGAAGGTTCCCTTCTAGCTCCAAAAACCTGTGGACAAAAAACTCTAAACTCTGAAATATTTGAAAGAAGTTTATTCTGAGCCAAATTTGAGGACCATTGCCCGGAGCCACTCCCAAGAAGCCTTGAGCAAGGCTGTGGCTGGGTTACAGTTTGGTTTTATACATTTCAAAGAGACACGGGATATAGGTAAAGTCATAAATCAATATGTGGGAGGCATATATTGGTTTGGCCCAAAAAGGACATCTCAAGTTGGGGGCAGCTTACAGGTTATGGGTGGGTTTAAAGATTCTTTGCCTGACAATTGGCTGAGAGAGGCTTTATCTAAAAGACCAGAAAGGAAAGGAAATGCTGAATTTAAGATAAAGGTGTGAGCACTCTGGGAGGTCCAGACAGGAGAATCTTTCAAGTTAAGATAAGGATCTGCTAGGATGCTTGAGTTAAGATGGGGGCTTTCTGTTTTTTAGGTGATGTTAATGCTATACTAGAATCAGGTTGGGAAGGAAACCACACTATATTTGGTTAACAAAACCTGCTTAGTGGGAATTTACCATTTGTGAGCATGACTCATCTGGATCCCTTAGGAAGGAATTTTGAGCAAAAGAAAAAGATCAGAGTTCAGACTTCAAATCTGTGGCTGTCACAGATCTGCAAATGACAGATCTACAAATAACACAGGTTCTTAAGAAATACACGTGGCAGGTGGTGCACATGGATCTTTGGCCTTAGACCCACCTCAACTACAGTCTGACCCTTACACTGGCTGGACATGTACGAGTTTCTTAACTTCCCTGTCCCACAGTTTCCTCATCTGTGAAATGGGATAATAAAACCTGCCTTAGAGGATGCCCGAGGACAAAGGGGAATCACACACATACACAGTATCTGCATACCCTTAGTGCTCACTGAATGTTAGTGTCTCTCGCTCTCTTTTCCTGCCAGAGCAGGGGAAACTGGCGATCAGGCATCCTGGAACATCCCGCCTTCATGTCAGACCATCAGGAGGACGATGAGCCTTGCATTGCCCGGGACATAGAGGAGCAAGCGGCCAGGAGCAGAGGACCCAGATGCTTCACCGACTGCCGCTGCTGGCAAGTCCCATGGCCATGCTCGGGCCCCATACATTGCACCCTGCAAGGACTCGTGTCATTTGGGGATGGCTTTGGAGAAGAGCTGCGAGAACACAGCAGTGCCCTTCTTTCCTGCAAGAAGTCCCGTCTGGGTGCTCTGGTCCTCAGGTTGGAAGGTCCTCCTAAGTGGTTCTGCCCTAGGTCTTAGGGTGCATCTTCTTCTCCTTGAGGATCTTTCTTCTCTACCCCTTGACTGAGCCCCTTCCAGGGGCAGCCTCTGCCTGCCTGGACAGCTCCACTTTCAGGCTTTGGCTGGGCGTGACTCAAGTGCACGGGAGAGCCTCGGCCTGGGTGGTTTCACAGCCAAGTCCCACCATGGGGGCCCTTTGGGGGGTCTGTCATCTGTCCCTTTGTGGGTCCTTTCATTCCTGGGCCCTGTTGTGGGTGTATAGAGAGGACAGGGCCAGTCCCTGCCCTTAAGGAGGTGGGTGAAGTGGAAGTCACCTTAGGAGGGAAGTGGCATGGGTGGCTTGTCATGGCTGATCTCCCACCTTAGCCCAGCAGGAGATGCCCAAGGGCAGAGCCCTGGGTTCTGCTTTGCAGTGCTGGTGCTGGGTTAGTGTGGCTGGTTCTGCTTTGCAGTGCTGGTGCTGGGTTAGTGTGGCTGGTTCTGCTTTGCAGTGCTAGCACTGGGTTAATGCAGCTGAGAGCTTACAGTCCCTTTTCACCTCAGTACTGCCGGGTTCCTCTGACCTTCCTAGAGCCTTTCATCCAAGGACCAAAGACAGATCAGCACACAGCACTTGCTTAGCCTAGCTGCATGCTAAGTGTCCATCTTACAAATGGAGAAGTCGAGGCACCACAGAGATATTTGTGGGTTCCTAAGCACTTTTGATGGAATGGAAGATGACCATGATGTTCATGTTCAAAGACAAGAGTGGGACACAAAATCGTATGAACAGCATGATCCACATAAAGAAAGAAGGCATAGGAAAAACTGCCAGAGAACATGGCAACGTATTAATAGTGGTTTCATCAGGTGTTGAAATTATGGGTGATTTTCTTTCTTCATTTTTCTGTACTGAAATAAAGTTTAGCCACCTCCCTCACTTGTACAGTTTTACAGTTTTCAAAGCATTCTCCCCTCTGTGCTGTGCATGTCATTTGTTTCCCATGTCTACTTTGTTCAAATAGGGCAGACTAAGCACAAATAGTCCCATTTTAAGAGGCAGAGCCTGCAGCTTCTCAAGGTTAACTGATTCACCCAAGGTCACACCACCGTGGAGCCAGGACAGTCATTCAGCTCTTTTGGCCCCTCGCCCATTGCCATTACGTGAATCCACGGCTGCCCCAAGACCCGGCTGGACACAGGATCCAAGGTCACTGAGTGTCTGCATTGGATTCTGAGCCTGCGTTTCCAAAGCAGTTAAGACACCAGCAGGCCTGAGTTTGCGGGGGCCTGAAGCTTATAGAATTTGGGAGATCCTTTAGAAGAAGAAGAAAACAAAATATGAATACAATATTGGTCATGCAAGTAAATACTTATTTTGGAGTTACAATTTTTTAAAGGTGATAATAAATATTACAAGCAACACAAAACCCAGAAAAATAATAAATTTTTATTAATCAATTGCCTGATTCATTTCCACAATATTTTTTCCCTGCGTTTTTAAGCTGAGTATTCTTTGTACACAGATTAAATGCATACATTGAAATGTATACATTAAATTAAATGTACATTAATGTATACATTTAAAATGCATGCAGCTGTGTACCTCTTCTTTTGACAATGGTCTTGTATTATTTTCTGTAGAGACAATTATCAGTTGTTGATTTGCATTAAACATTTGACTTCACACAAAGCCAAATTCACTCCTTCTAGTACCACTACAAATTTGTGCCCTTAAAAGACAGATATGTGGATTATTTTTATTTTGTAAGATTTCAATAGAAAGAGGGAAAAAATTACGGTATATTTATGTATTTATAATTGTAAGTGGACATTATTGACTCTGTTCTTTTCTCTCTTTTTTTGAAACATAGTCTTGCTCTATTGTCTGGGCTACAATGCATTGGCATCATCATGGCTCACAGCAACCTCAAACTCCTGGGCTCAAATGATTCTCCTGCCTCAGCCTCCCGAGTAGCTGGGGCTACAGGCATGTGCCACGACGCTTGGTTAACTTTCCTATTTTTAGTAGAGACAGGGGTCTCACTCTGTCTCAGGCTGGTCTGGAACTCCTGACCTCAAGCAATCCTCTTACCTTGGCCTCCCAAAGTACTAGGATTGCAGGCATGAGCCATCGTGCTTGGCCTCTTCTCTTCCTATAAAGACACAAGTCATATTGAATTAAGGGCCTACCCTACTCTGGTATGACCTCATCTTAACTAATTACATCTGCAATGACCCTATTTCCAAATAAGGTCACATTCTGAGGTTTCAGGAAAGACATGAATTTGGGGGTGGGTGGGGGGGACACTCTTCAACCCAGTGCACAGGGTAAGTCAGAATGGAAAGAGACCGCAGCCTTAACCCACGGTGGTTAAAATATCTTGCTTCTGCAAATTTTACAAAAGCACTCCACCTTGAGAACACGTTGCTCAACCCCTCCCAGGGCCTGGGAAGGCACCTTGCAGTGGTGGTGGTGGCGGGGTCTGAAGCGGAAGCTTCCTTCGGGTCACAGTGAGCACACCTTTGCGTGTAAGCAGAGGGGGCACCTGAGCGGAGAAAGACGGAAGCCGGCTGTCAGAGCTAAGAGGGAGGAAGAGGGCTCTCTGCTTCCATCTGGGGGAGGCCCTGAGAAGCCGGGGGTTATGACTCAGGAGGTTGTGACTCAGATTCCAGATGAAGTGAGAAGGGCGGGCGCAATCTCCACTCCCCGCCCCAACCCTTCCCCGACAGCCTCTGTCTCTGTCCCTCTTCTGAGAATCCTGGAAAACCACATACCTTCCATATGGACTCTTCCCCACACTCCTCACCTGGTTACAAAAACAACAATAAAAATCACTAGGGGAGCGGGCAAATATTCAGGGCAACTTGGATCCACACTCCCAGGCTGCAGTCTGCAAACTCGGCCCAAGTAACTCGCTACTTATATTGAAAACTCTACTGCCATTTATTAAGCTATGCATTCATTCAATAAATGTCTATTGAGCACCCACTGTGTGCCAGGAGTGTCCCTAGGCACTTGGCATGCAGTACAGAGCAAGAGATGAAGACGGCAGCCCCTGCAGAGCCCACGCCTCGGTGGAGAGGGGGGTGGGAGAGGTTCCGCAGGGAGTGAGGTCTGGGGGGCCTTCGGAGGCGATGGTGTGTGGAGGGACTAGGGGATGAACTGGGGGACAGGCCTGGCCACACAGGGCTGCGCAGGCCATCGGAAGGAGCTTGGCCTCTCCATGAGTGGGACAGGGAGTCACTGCTGCAGGGCCTGAGCAAGGCGGTGATGAGATCCGACAGGTACTTCATTTATTTATTTATGTATTTATTTATTTATTTATTTAGAGACAGAGTCTCACTTAGAGTGAGTGCTGTGGCATCAGTCCAGCTCACAGCAACCTCAATCTCCTGGGCTCAAGCGATCCTCCTGCCTCAGCCTCCCGAGTAGCTGGGACTACAGGCATGCGCCACCATGCCCGGCTAATTTTTTGTATGTATATTTTTAGTCGGTCCATTAATTTCTTTCTATTTTCAGTAGAGACGGAGTCTCGCTCTTGCTCAGGCTGGTTTCGAACTCCTGAACTCAAGTGATCCTCCTGCCTCGGCCTCCCAGAGTGCTAGGATTACAGGCGTGAGCCACCGCCAGGCCTGACAGGTACTTTTAAAAGGGTCACTCTGTTGGGAACAGTCAGGGAGGGTGGGGGAGGGCGGGCAGCATCAGGACACTGTGGTCCTCCGGGTGGGAGGAAGAGGGAGCGGCCATAGAGGCACCAGAGAGGGCTGAATCCCAGACGCAGGTTGGAGGTACAGCCAGCTGGGCTTGCTGACGGGTGCGCGTGCGGGTGACAGCAGAGCCAGGGTGTGGACGCGCCAGCAGGTGCTGCGTAGACAGTCATGGACAGCCCTGACAATCCGGTTTGATGGATGAGAGCCAGACTCAGAGAAGTTCAGGCGCTTGCTGTGGGTCACACAGCTGGGCTTGTACGTGAACTGACAGCTGCTGATTCCAAAGCCCTGGGCCTAAATCACAAGACTGTTCAGAGGCACCCTACCCCCACCGGACACAGGCAGTGTGACCCTCTCGCAGGCGAGCGCAGCACAGGCGCTCCAGACCTGCCCCTCCCGCGCTGGAGCCCGAAGCCAGGGCCCTGGGCTCAGACCCGCCCTCTTGGCTTTTACCCTTTCTGCTCGTGAGACCTGGGGCAAAGCTAGCAAGTCTTGCTGTGCTCTGGTTTCCTCACATGTGAAATGGGGCTGCTGTGGCAGCCTTTTCAGGGCTGTGGTGAGGGTTAGAAATAATATTAAGAGCCGGAGGCTGCCCTTGGGCCAGGTGCTGGGTTACGGTTTGCCTCGGTTTCCTCACTTGGGGCCCTGACATCACCCTGGGCACCTCTGCGGAAAGTGCCTTGAGAACCTGGGGCAGGTGGCCATCGGGGCCCTGCAAGGCGAAGGCTTTTCCCCACCACCGAGGGCGGCTCCCGGCCCTGCCTCTGCAGCGCGCAGGGGAGGAGGCACCAGCGGGCCCTGAGCCTGCGGCCCCGCCATGAGCTCCCCTCCCCAGCGGCCAGAGCACTCCTTTCGCTTGGATTTTGCTGTGATTTATCACCCCCTGGAGATGACATGTTCTACTTAAACGGGAGATTAATTGGAAAAGCACATGTTTAGAGGGCAAATCGTTTTATTTAAAAACATTTCAGACGAAAGCCAGTGCGGACGGCGAGGGAGTATCCGCTCTCGCCTCGGCCGAGCAGCCTCTGCTCTTCGCACACCGAGCTGGTCCGGGTTTCTCCGGTGTGTTTTGTTTTATTTGTCCTGACACCCCAGGGGGGCTCTCCTGTGAGCCCAGCAGGGCTGGTCCCGTGCCACCCACCTCCATTCTCACACAGCTGCATGGAAAATCCCACGGGAGGGCTAGACACACGCAGATGCACACACACACGTGCACATGCACACACACGCAGAAGATGCAGAATGTGCTTTTCCTGAGTGCCTGAAAATGAGCTTAGTTCTGTGCACGTGTGCGCTGTGTTAGAGCATTTGACTTGCCATAAAAATACCTGCTTTCAGACTTTGTCTTTTGTGTCATCATGACCTTTAATATCTGTGCCAAGACACTAAACTAAGTCTCCGGGGCTCAGTTTTTGCATTTGTCAAGTGGGGATGGGTGGGTTGCTGTAGGCGTGAAAGTGGACAATATCACGCTTCTGAGGACCCTGGCCCAGTTGGCGATAAGTAAATAACGGGTATGTTTATCCCTCCTTTGGGAAATTTATCAGCTGTTAATCTTTTGGTTTGGGAATATATTTTGGAAAATGCTGGTCTAAATGTATACTTCATTCATCCATCGTGTATGCATTCAGTAAACATTGATCTGTTCCCCCTTCGGTGATTGGACATGACCTTGTGTTGAGGAAACAAGAAAGGCATTGTCTTACCTTGGAGGGGGTGGTCAAAGTCTAGTGGGGGAGGGGTAAGATGAGTGACAAGTCTCCACCCAGCCCCCTTGGTTATCCTCTTGGTCATCCCCTTGGCTGCCCCCGGTGCACCAGTCCTGATCCGCCCCCTGCCCTTCACTCTGTGGCTCCCTAGCCCCAGACAGTAATGCCCTTGCTCACCTCAAGACCTCGGGCTCTGTGGCCCCTCCAGACCCACATCCTACCGTCCACTGCCCCCTTGCCCTTCACCCTCCAGCGGAGCCTCACCTCTAGACCATGCTGTCTGCGTCCTTGCACGCTGCTCCCTTTGTCTGAGCTGCTGGCCAGCTTAGCTCCGGCTGCTCCTCCTCCTCCCTGCGAGATCCCATCCTCCCCCGAGTGTCCCTGTCCCTTACACCCATGATAGGCACTGATGTTGGCTAGGAACGTCTCTTCCCTGGGGGGCCCTGGAGGGCAGGGGCTATATTTTGCTCACCCAGGTTCCCTGGGGCAAAGTACAGGGTGTGGGAATAGGCGCTCAACACGTTCAGTTGCGTTGCTCGTTTGTTTTAAGAAAGTGGCTTCTTATTTTAAATGTCCCTTATTAGTCAGCAGTCTTGGAAAAAGAAACCATCCCCCAGAAACATGTGGCCCTCCCACTGGGCCTGAGGTGGAGGTGGCCCCTGGGCCCCCGGGGCCACGGGAGACAGGAGACAGGGCTGCCACGGGACCCAGAGCCTCGTGCCTGCTGAACCGGAGTAACCCTGCCCGCCTCCCCTCGCCCTGCTGTTTTCTGTTTCCAGTTCTGCTTTCTGCATCTTGCCTTTTGGCAGCTCATTGCGGAAAGAGGAAGGGGCTCGTTTTCGGGGGTGCTTACTGATACTCCCAGAGGGCCGGGGGAAGAATCTCCGCAAGTTCAGCGTAGTCTGAGCGTTTCCACTGAGCTGCTCTGCGCATGTCTGTCCACTGGCTGAGAGCCTTCCACAAATATTAGCATTAATAACAATAACAACATCGTCAACAATAACAAAAGCGATCAACCTCTGAGAGCCTCCAGTGTGTGAGGCATGGAAATAAACTCACTGCAAATATGATCTGTAATCCTCACGCCCACGCTGTGAGTTAGAATTATTACCCCATTTCGTAGTTGAGGAAATAGAGGGCTTAATGATTAAGCAGCGAGGGACAGGCCTTGCTGTCCCTGAAACCCGTCTCTGCGGTCGCGCTCCGTGGCCAAACTGGCAGGGAAACCGACGCGAGCTGGGGCAGGTTTCTCGTGATGGCAGCTTTGGCTCCGGGATCCCTGACTGCCCCGCTGGGCTCTGCGGGACGCTTCCCTGCCACCTTCCTCCCCTCCTGTCCTGCGCGGTGGTCTGGTGGCTCTCGCAGCCTGCCTCCCCCTCCATGCGTCCTCACTGGCCAGGCCCTGATCAGTCTCTCGAGTGGCCAGTGCCGTCTTGGTGTCTGCTTTTCCGAGGGCCAAATGAAGCCACCCAGCTGAAGAACAGTGGAGAAAGTTCTGCTGGCTGAAGCCCAGCGTCTGCCCTCCCCGCTCCCACAGGGTGGCCCTTGGCCCGCTCTCCCAGCCTGCCTTGCAGCCTCGAGGCAGGGCTGCGACCTGACCTGCGGGTCCCAGTGCAAGTGGATGGGGCAACTCTGGGCTGTGCCCCAAAGGGGAAGTAGGACGTGGTGGCAGTGGTCCCTTGTGGACCCTGGGGGGAGTCCACGACGGTGGTATCCTGCACCTTCAGGATGGCAGAAGGGGGCTGGGCCCCGGTGGCTTTGCAGAGCAGACTTCTACACCAGAAGAGACTCGCCTCTTCTTTAAGTCTCTGTCACTTCGAGTGTCTGTCACACGTACACAGCCAAACCCAGTATCCCAACTGATTCCGACTTGATCGTAAGCTTAGTTGACAAACCTCTGGATTTTAAAGGACCTCAGAAGCCACATCATTTGTGGAGGGAGGGAGTGACCGGGAGGCAGGGAGCATGGCCGGTTCCGGGCGGGGCGAAGGGCCCGGGGGTGCCCGGCCCGGGGGAGCCCGTATGAACGGGAGGCGTCACTGCTGCTCCACCAAGCCAAGGGGTGACAAGGTTGGCACTGAGCGTGGAGCACTGTCTGCCTCTGTCTGAAAGTGAGGCAAGAGCTGAGCTAGGGCAGAGGTATTTCAAGTCAGCTGTGAGCGGTGAGGTGGTGACATGGCAGGATTGCATTCCACCCCACAGCGAAGGCGGCAGAGCTGCCCTCCAGCCTGAGTGGTGGGCACCGTCCGGACGCCCATGGCCTTGGGCCCAGGGCAGCAGACGTCCGCCAGCACTGCTGGGTGCTTTGGGCTGCTGCGTCACCACCCCCGCTCCCCGCCCACCCCCGCCTCCCAGCTGCACACTGCTGGC